TTTTTGTGATGATGATGATGATGATGATGTCGCCATTTCTTTGTCCTCCAAGACCTTTGGGCTCGGAGGTTTGGTTCCCCTCAGGCACCAGCAGGAGGCCCGCCAGGAAGGAGGCGACACTCAGAAGCAACACGGAGACGTGAAGTCCGCCTTGTGGCATCTCCAGTCTGGATGCGGCTAAATGTGAGCATCAAGAGGGAGGAGGGCAAAATGGGCAAACTCTGTCCGGCCTCCGGAGAACATCGACCATTTCGAGAGAGCGGCGTTCGGGGCAGAGGGCCGCGCCTGGGGAGCCTCACGCAGGGAAGGAGCGAAAGGCTGCACAGTCACAAGGCTGCAGGGCCCTCAAAGCCCGTCTTCCCTCTTTGCTGGCCGGTAGCTTGATTTTCAAGCTTCGAAGCCATCTCGAGCACAGCCTCCACACCACGAGCAGCACATTCACCAGCCCGGTTTTCACGTGGCCCGCCTGCTTACTCAGCGATCCCTTTCGCCAGATGGGCTCCTGCAGAAGTCTGAAATGACGTGCAGGATGATCCACATGCACAGTGTAGAGTGAGAGGAGACCGTCTATGTGCCTGCAAGAGCTTGAAGGATCTGGTGAGCTTCTGCGGGTCCGAGACGGTGCTGCACAGCGTCGTCTGACAGCAGAAAACAGCTCTGTCGGCAAGGCATGACAGCATTCACCCGGCGTTTTGAGCTGCAGGTTTCGCAGCCCCAGGCCATGAACTATCAACTCTCGTGCCGTGCTTTGGAATTCGAAGTCCAGCGAGTAGCTTCTGCCCCGGACTTCAAGAACGGTCCTGGCGGTCTGGCTGGTCTGGGCCGACCGTCGCCTCGGCGGCCAGAAAGGAGATCTCCTGGCCGGGACATCCCTCTACATAACACTAATAATAATCATGATAACAATGATAATAAGGTGATGATGATTATTATTGTTCTTCCTCTTGTTAGTCTTATTCTTGTTCTTATTATTACCACTATTATGACTTTTGTTGTTAGTATTATTACTACTACTATTATTGTTACTACTATTACTGCTGCTATTGCTCTTGTTGTAGTTATTACTGCTACTGTTGTTCTTCCTACTATCGTTATTACTGTTAATATTCATATTAACGCCGATATTATGTTTATATTGATATTCAGATTAAGAAAACCGATACTAATTCATTAATATCAGTAGTACTATTGTTGTACTTATGAGTGTTATTGTTACTGTCTGTCTCGTCTTTAATATGCAGATTCATGTTGTTGTTCCTGTGTTATTCTGTTTTTCTTCTTCTTACTATAACTGTTCTTATTCTTATTCTTACTACATGAGTCTTATTCTTATTACTACCAACAGGACAGGCAGTAGCTCGTGGCCTTGATCAGCTTCTTCCGGATCATCGAAGAAATCTGGCAAGAAACACGCGTGCGTGTGCGTTCGACACCCCCGGCAGCACACTTGGGTAAAACATCACAGCCTCTTGGAGCTCGGCCATGTGGTCCTCATAGCACGCGAAGCGCGAAGCAAGCTTTGGACATGCACAAGGCGCTGTAGACAGCTTCCCAAGCCCAATACTCTCCGAAGATGATTCGGTAAAGGCTTCATCTGCCCTCAAACCGAATCTGCCACGTGAGGCGTTTTGAGAAGCCAGCCTCTGGGACATTGCGATCTCCCAGTCCAGTGATGTCAGCCTGGATCCCTATGAGATACCAAAGCTCCTGGGAGTGCAGACAGAAGGAGCACCTGAAAAGTAGCGGACTCGAAGAGGCCTGGAGCAGAATAGCTACTCGTATCTCACTTGCTTGGACTTTAGTCACCCTCGAAGCTGAGCTCCTCATTGGTTTCCACATCCGTCGCAATAGTCAGGCCCCGCAAGTCCAGAAGATTTATGAACCTCACGTTGTCCCGTCCCCGCAAGTCAAGGCAGCCCAAACCAGGTCTCTGACAAGCCAGCAATCTTCAGCAAGGACCGCGTGATGAGTTCCCGACATCTCGCCCGACTTCTTCCGATTCGGGAGAAGCGCCGTGAAGGCACACCCACGTTCACTGGCAAGGGAATTTGGATGAAAACAAACTTCCCATGTCTTGAAAAAGCCACAGATGCGCGCGCGTGCCGCAAAACTCCAATCCCAGCCTGGCGAGTCTGAGACCAACCAGATCCGACGGCGAGATGGGGCCTGCAGCACACACTATATTGTAACACTACCTTATAATACTATATGATAATACTATATTATCATGCTATACTAAATCATACTATGAGATAATATACTGCCATATTATGGTAAAGCTTAAAGGAAAGCCTCAATCATGAGCACTTCTTGGACAGTTGAGGCCCCGACACCCCTGATTCAGGAAGCGGCAATTGGCCCCAAGTATCTCACTCCTCAGGGCTCGAGAAACAGTGACAGGCGAGAGGCAAATGAAGATCTCCAGGAGCGAAGGCAAGGGTCCTCTTGAAGCCAGTCATGTTTTCGAAGGCTTCCGAGACGGCAATGAGGGGGAAATCTTTGCCTGAGCCGAGAGCTTTGGTACTTCGGAGCCACGACCTGGACTGAGGCCGCAGCCACGCGGATCTGCAATGGTCACGCAGAATTTGCATGACGAGACCTAAGATGATCTAGCAGCAAGGACACAGCCTCAAAAGCTACATGCCGATGCGTTCCCCGCAAAAGCTCCCAACTGCTCCTTGTATCGCTTTCTTCACGATCGCTTGGTTCACCTGGAGATACACGACAGCATGCTTCGCAACAGGTGTCGGGTTTGCGTTGCAGCAGGGTTGATGCATGCCATAGGCATCCGGTCTCTTCCATGCGACTGAAGGACCCTCCGAGGAACGAGTAAGACAACCATTTCTTAGTTCAGGACCACATCGGAGATGATGGCGTCGATGTCTTCCTTACAACTTCACTTCATCCGACTTCCGCCAGCACCGAACGCAACATTCACCACCCAATGGAACAGTCGAACAGCAGACGACTCCGCCAGGAATTGCTGCGCAAGCAAAGCTGACAAGAGACACCGACGAGCCCTCAAACGAACCAACTTAACTTGCAAAGCCAAGAGATCGCCTCTCCAGCACGCGCGGGGTGAGGAAGGAAACTACTTGCAAGCCAGGGCTCTGTGAGCTGGCGCCCAGCAGACTGCTCCAGTGAAACGGAGACCTGCCACACAGAGCTTCCAGTTCTTCTCCCAAAAAGAGCTCTTTCGCTCGGAGCTGCTTTGAAAGTCGGCCTTGGGCTTCCAAGCCATGGGCGGCACCGATTCCTCGACCTCTTCGTCCTCGGGCACCTGCGAGGGTGGGGGGTTTAGTGTTTAGGGTGTAGGGTTTAGGGTTTAGGATTCGGATTTAGGGTTTAGGGGGGCATCAACTCCTGAGTTGGTAAAGCAGGGCAGGAGGCTCAGAGCTACGACGGGAAGCATTCAACACCTGAGAATCCTCAGATCAAGTGACATGTGACCTGACCGACAGCAGGCATCTGCCGGCAAACGCTGTACCTAGAGCTTGTCTGGAAATGCCGACTCCGACCAACCGCCGGTTTCCCAGGAGGCGATGCAATCTGCTACCTTGCTGCGCCTGATGTTCCATGGCTGGTGAAAGGTGTGCAAGGTCGACGGCGCAGCCTCTTTTGGCTGCACGTGACTCCACCAGCTGCCTTTGACAGCTGGGCTGACAGGATGCCCGGATCAGCGCTTGTTCCAGGCGTGCCCTGCACGACGGCCAGCTCTCCCAGCCCTGGCGACAGTCGCTATCCGACCTAGACCACATCTGACTTCATGTATCCCTTCAGTACCAGGGTTCATGGTGCACCCAAAATTGCTGTGCAATAACAACGCATAGATGGGCCAGTGACAAGCCTGGCACTACTGCAGCAGCTATGCTACAGCATCACCACAACACCAGCCACCATGGAACTAGGCCACCGGCAGGTGAGAGAGTCTTTGACGAGTGTCCTGGCAAGAAATGACAAGCCTGAAACTGGCCTCCCGTCCTCTTCGTCCCTCCCAATCTAACACCATGAGGACGAATTTTTCTTGATGTGGATGCCGGTGGCTATTAGCACCAAGCAGTTTTGGTAAATATCGGTCTACCTGGCTCACTTCTTTGTTGAGCTCGGAAACCGTGAAGCACAAAGCTCGGCGCTTCGCACTGCAAGCCGCCAAAGGCTCTGGTGCCCTTCTTTTTTTAAGGGCCAGAGCTGGTCTCATCGGCGCATGGCCGCACGCTTCACAGCCTCCACTGCCTGGAATCTCGAGGCTTTGAGGCTCCACACCAGGACATCCCAGTGAACTCCCTCAACGGCCTGGCGCAGGCTCCGTGCGGAGGCTGCAGCCGAAGGCGCTCCAGCGGCGAGAGAGAGGTCCTCCCAGTGGCTCAACCATTCTAAGCCCGACCCTCCCCCCCAACGACATGATGATGGCCCACGGCCCCCCGCCTCGCGGAACATGCCACGGCTACGCTTTCCAGTGTCGTCCTCCGCTGCTTCCCGGATGAGCCTCAAGGAGAAGAGTGCTTAGAAGCTGTCACGGTGTCATCTCTGGTCAACTTAAAGCCGCAGCATATCTTTCTCCTTTTCGGTCCTGTTAACGTCTTTCTCACCTAGACTTCTTCCTGAAGCTGATTGCAATGGCGAAGGCAGTCTCTGTGCTGAACTGACAGCTGTGCCTTAGCATCATGCTGTCCATACCACCCACAGGTCTCCTCAGCTTGGAGCCCACGCTCTGACCCGCTGCGGCATCCTCCCACCATGCAAGCCCGTGCATGCCAAGCCGCGGAACCCAAACCGTGCGGCAAAGGCGCTGCTCAGCTGCAGGAAGGACCTGAAAGGGAGGAAACCACTCGCCACCCCACATGGCTGAAAGAAAAACTGAACGGTATCTCAGGAAGGTGCGTTGCCGGGATCATCATCAACGAAAAGAACCTGCCAGCAGACGAGAGAACCCACAGGCACACCGTGGTGCAAGGCAAGTGGAAGTGCTTTGTGAAACCAACGGGAGCCTGCCATGCAGAGAGACCGTCCCTGCGCCGGAGTTCTTCTATGATGCGGTCCTAGCTGGGGCTCTCACGTCCACTCGAAACGAGCGCAGCTAGGACCCGGAGCCACCCCCATTGTCGGGAACCCGCACCTTTCTGCCCTGCTTCGCCTCCGACAGCGGATGCTCCCTGCCGATGACCTGTACGGAACGGTCCAAATCCCCGTGACTGGGCTCACTGGACGCCTCTAGTCGAAAGCCGGCCTCTGCGAAGAACTTCCGCAGTCCACCCTTGGCTAGAGCTGCATCGACCACGTTCCCAAAGCCCGTGGTGATCACGATGACCTTTCGCCTCGGGGTCTGCCTCAGCAGGAAGTGATGAACCCACGTTGCCTAGTGAAATCAGTGGTGCTATTAGGCTATGCAGCTGTTCACCGACAGTGACAAGCTGCAACAGGCTCTGGAAGAAGCTCCTCAACTCCTGCAACCTTCCAGGCCCGCCGTAGATCCTGGGTCCACACCCCACACACCCCACACGGGCAAAAACTGGCCTCCACACTACCCAAACCCCCGCTAGAGTCGACTCCGCTCCCCGACTCCGTCCTCGAGGGGAACTCCGGCTCTTCTCGGCATTGGACCTCCAGCTTTGCCTTCTGCGAAGGGCCATCGAAGCCCCCTCGTCGGCAAAGCTCCTCAAATGAGAACCCAGGGCTTCCTATGAATTTCGCTTCTCTCATGCACCTCTCACATCATGCTGTCGGTGCACCATCCGTCTTTGCAATCACTGTTTCCTGTTTCCTCCCCAAGAGACCCGGCCTCGAAAACGTGGATGGCAGCAATCGTGCAGTCGAAATCGAAGCACAGGAGCTGCAAGCCCTCCCCAGCGTCGCTGTGATCAGGTATGGGTCTCTCCCAGGAACTCTGCCCAGTCTGCCGGTTGTGGAAGAACTTCCGTCCTGTGGCTTGATCCGCATGCTCTTCCCAGTCATCTTTGGCAACGGGCTTTGACCAGGACGACTCCTTGGTTTGGGAATTGTAATAGAAAGTCCGACCAGATTCATCTACATGCTCGGTCCACTCCTGTGCATCCCCTGGCTTCTGCCAGCTTGTCTCCTTCGTCTCCGTGTTGAAATAGAAAAGCTTGCCACTCGCTGGGTCTCTGTGCTCTGTCCAACCATCAGACCTCTTCGGAGGAGGAACGGGAGAAGCCGGCAGGCGGGGCACAGTTGAAGAGGCTGAGCCGGGCTTGCTCCAGCAGCTCTCCTGGGTAACGGGGTTGTAAAAGAACCGCCGGCCAGAGCTGTCGACGTGCTCCTCCCACTGAGGCGGAGCCACAGGGCTGGGGCCGGGGGCTACCCTTTGTGCTGGCGGTGCCGGTATGGACGGCCTTGTCGGCGAAGTTGGAGGAGGTGGCACTGGGGCTGGGGCAGCAGGAGGGGCCAGCGGCTTGCTCTTGGCCACATGAGGGCCTTTTTGGTATCCGACGCTCCGATCAGCCAAACTGACTGGTTTCATCCACGCTGACTCCTTCGTCGTGCTGTTGTAATAGAATTTGCGGCCGGAATCAGGATCGACGTGCTCCGTCCAAGGATCCGAGCTTGACGCTGCACCGGGCTTCTGCCAACTTGTCTGTTTGGTGTCAGTGTTGAAATAAAACATCTTTCCGCTAGCTGGGTCTCTGTGCTCCGTCCAGCCGTCAGATTTCCTCGCGGGATCAGGCGGGTAGCCTGCACGGGAATTTGGCCTTGTCCAGCTCGTCTCTTGGGTGGCCGGGTTGAAGAAAAACTTCTTGCCAGAACTCGGATCCACGTGCTCCTCCCACTGTGCCGGAGACACAGCTGATCCCCGCATGTCTGGCGCGCTTAGGCGGCCATGCACCACGCAGCCATTGCATCGGCATGATCTGGCATGTGGCTTCCTGACTAAGGTAACATGATTGTCTGACCTGCTGTTTGCATCACGGCACGGTCTTACATATCCTGGTCTGGTCTCCGGTGTCCCCAGAGGATTGCAGATTACATTGGTGGATGGGGATGGGTACGACGTCACACACGAATGGTATGGCCATGATATCTTTTTTCCGAGCAGAACGCACCAGATTGTTCCGGTATTCAGGGGGAATATGCTCCTACGCATTCAGCATGCTGCGAGCTTCCGGCTCGGAGCAACTTCTACTGGCAGGACGAATCCATCCGTGTGGGCTTTTTTGAACTGAGGATGGGTGAGCTGCATCACGTCTGCACAGCGCAGGAGGTCCTCCAGACATGCAAGGTCATCGCTCTGGGAACTGTTGCAGATACATGTGCCGACCGCCGGGCAGGGCAAGGAATTGTCACGCCATCTGCAGACCATTCAACGAGCTTGAAGCAGTTTGATCAGTTTGGGAACTGGCAAAGAGAAGTCAGGCAAAAGATGGCAAAATAACTATGAGCCTGTCCTTTGAAACATCCCACACGCCCGCATCAGCAGGGCATCCTCAAACATTCGCATTAGCCTCTGCAAGGATGAAGCTGCTGCAGATCTCACACGGCCCGTGCTCACAGCACACATCTGGCTTGCATACGACACGAAAGTCTGGCCTTGGTGATCGCGCTTTGCCCTGGCATCGACAAGTGCGCTTCCAGGAGCAACTCCGGCTTCATCTACTCACTTCGGGCACATCTGAGCACACCCTGGCAAGGCCAGAGCCGATGCAGCATCCATCTATAGTAACTGTCTATCGATCCTACAATGTACCGATCTGTCTGTCCATCTACCAGCATCTATCTGTCTATTGATCGACAACATCTTCTATTCATCTATGCCTATCCATGTCTCTGCCTATCTATCAACCCACTTACCTACCTAGCTACCTACCTACCTACCTGCCTGCCTGCCTGCCTGCCTACCTACCTACCTATCTACCTACCTACCTACCTACCTACCTACCTACCTACCTATATGTATGTCTATCTATCTGTGCAGCTGTTAGCTAGCGAGCCAGCTATCTACCTACCTGCCTAAGTGTATCGAGTTGTCGTTCGTTCTGGCGTTCTTTCTTTATGTATTTCTTTCGTTCATGTTTGTTACTTCGTTCTTGGGTCGTTCTGTGGCGCTTTCTTTATGTCTGCTTTTATTGCATGATGTTGCTGTCTTGGTGTATCTATCTAACGTGAATTATGTCGTTCTTTCGCTGTCATTCTGTCTTTCTATCTGCCTATGTGCAAGTACATACAAATAACACAGGTGCTGCATGTTATCTGACACCAGCGTATGTTTCCTGGCCATGCGTGATCCTGCAACTTCCTATGATCATTCGTCATTCAACGTACCTATGTAGTTAGCAATACGATTGTGGGGTTCCTGATTATGCTTAAACTTATAGTATGCTACACCCCAAAACCCTATTCTAATTATTAAAGGCACAATTGCGCCAGGCCGTCCTTCCAAAGCAACGAGGAATCATGGTTTGTCCCAGCCTGGGATGCCAGGACTCGGGTGCAGGGCCTAGTAAGACTTCGAGCAGAGGCTTGGGATGTAGGACTCCAGGGTTTTAGGGGATTGCTCGTTGAATTGAAGGGTCAGTGCCCCTTGCTGGTTTACCTACAAGGATTCGATAGACACCGATAGAGGCCGTGGGACAGCAAAGGAATTTTAAGGCTGTCTTAAACCGAGCCCTCTATCGTACATAACGTAACGGGCATTCCTTACTTCCGTTAATCCTTGGACTCGTGATGCGCATCGCTCCCGGCAGGAAATGGAATCTGAAATCATGCGGACAAGCGACGAGTCTCCTTTGTGATTGTGTTGTAGTAGAAGTTCTTCCTCAGTCGAGACTGTCCAGGCCTAGCTCCTTCGCCCTGTCTTTGTTGCACGTCTGCTGCTGCCAAGCAGCCCCGACGATGGATCGCTGTGCTCTTCCCAGTTCCTCAGAGATGGGACCACGTGGCAGAAGCAGCTGCAGAAACACTCGAAGCACGAACCGAACGTAGCTGCCACCCTTCTACGACACTTCACAAGGATCGCTTGCAGACAAAATGCGGCGGTAAGCCTCCAGCTGCCTCGGCAGTGCACTTGCCCACGAGAGGACACATGCGATCCACGATGGAACAGCTTGGACTCTGTAAATGCTCGCTACATGAACTTTGGCTTCTGCAGCCCCCGATTGACTGCCAGCTCAGCTGCTGCTCCCGCCGGCTTGTCCCAAGACGTCTCCTCAAACAACGACGGGCTAAGCACGGCATCCAAAGAAGTCTTGATAGATTCGCCTGAGCCCCTCAGGTGCTGCATCCCCCTAGAAATCCGTGGGCTCCTTGGTCACCTTGTTGTAGTAAAACGTCTTGCCACTGCCTGGATCTTTGTGCTCCTCCCAGTCGGGCGGCAAACCTCCCAGCGGACTCGGCGCTGCTGGCGATGCTGCACCTTTCGGTTTGTCCCAAGAGGTCTCCTTCGTGACCTTATTGTAGTAGAACACCTTGCCGGTGGAGGGGTCCTTGTGCTCTTCCCAATTTGGTGGAAGACCTGCTGGCGCCGCCGACGCGGAAGCACCCTTGGGCTTATCCCAGGAAGTCTCCTTTGTCACCTTGTTGTAATAGAATGTCTTCCCGGTGGATGGATCTTTATGCTCCTCCCAGTTGGGTGGAAGGCCCCCCAGTGGAGCTGGCTTGATCGCAGGTGCAAGAGCAGGCTTCGGAGCGGGCTTGTCCCACGAGGTCTCCTTTGTCGTCTTGTTGTAGTAGAATGTCTTCCCAGTGCTTGGATCCTTGTGCTCCTCCCACTCAGGCGGCAAACCTCCAACTCCAGGTGCTGCGGGAGCTGCTGGCGCCGCGGCCCCCTTCGGCTTGTCCCAAGAGGTCTCCTTCGTGATCTTGTTGTAATAGAACACCTTGCCGGTGGAGGGGTCCTTGTGCTCTTCCCAATTTGGTGGCAAGCCTCCGGCATCAGGCGGTGCAGCTGCTGAAGCACCAGCGGGTTTGTCCCAGGAAGTCTCTTTGGTCACCTTGTTGTAGTAGAAAGTCTTCCCAGTCGATGGGTCTTTGTGCTCCTCCCAGTTGGCAGGCAGACCTCCACCTGGTGCGCCTGGAGCTGCAGGTGCAAGAGCAGGCTTCGGAGCAGGTTTATCCCACGTGGTCTCTTTTGTCGTCTTGTTGTAGTAAAAGGTCTTCCCGCTCCCAGGATCCTTGTGCTCTTCCCACTCAGGCGGCAAACCTCCAACTCCAGGTGCTGCGGGAGCTGCTGGCGCCGCGGCCCCCTTCGGCTTGTCCCAGGTGGTTTCTCTGGTCACCTTGTTGTAGTAGTACGTCTTGCCTGTGCTGGGATCTTTGTGCTCTTCCCAGTTTGGGGGCAGTCCCGCTGGTGCTAGTGGGGCCGGGAGGGCAGGCTTAGCTGCCATAGCCGCAGGTTTGTCCCAGGTGGTCTCCTTCGTGATCTTGTTGTAATAGTACGTCTTGCCTGTAACAGGGTCCTTGTGCTCGGTCCAATCACTTGCGCCGGGCGCCGGTGGTGCCCCGGGTGCCCCCGGCGCCAAAGGTGCTTTCGGGGCTAAAGGCGTGGTTGCGGCCAGTTTGGGCGCTGGCTTGTCCCAGGTCGTCTCCTTGGTGATCTTGTTGTAGTAGTAGGTCTTGCCAGTCACCGGATCCTTGTGCTCTGTCCAATCGTCCTTCAAATCGGGAGCTGGTGGTGCACCTGGAGCCAAAGGTGCTTTCGGGGCCAAAGGCGTGGTGGCAGCCAGCTTGGGTGCTGGCTTGTCCCACGTCGTCTCCTTCGTGATCTTGTTGTAGTAATACGTCTTGCCCGTGACCGGATCCTTGTGTTCTGTCCAGTCGTCTTTCGGAGCCGCTGGTGCCGATGGCGCGCCAGGAGCCAAAGGAGCTTTGGGAGCGCCTGGTGCCAGCGGCGCGGCCGGCTTTGGTGCTGGCTTTTCCCAGGTAGTCTCCTTGGTGATCTTGTTGTAGTAGTACGTCTTGCCTGTAACAGGGTCCTTGTGCTCTGTCCACTCCGCCGGTAGAGCTGGACTGGGCGGAGCGCCAGGCGCCCCAGGTGCTCTTGGAGCACCCGGCGCACCCGGGGCTGGGGGAACAGCTGGCTTGGGTGCCAAAGGAGCTCCAGGGGCGGCCGGTGCTAAGGGCGCTTTGGGGGCCAGTGGAGCTCCAGGGCTGGGTGATGCGATGGAAACTGTCGGTCTCGAGAGACCTCCGGGCGGAGCTGGTGCAGAGGGACCGAGCCCTGGTCGTGCTCCGGGCGCTGGTGGCGCCGGACCCGAGGGCAGCTTGGGAGCTGCAGGTGCCCCAAGCGGTGTCAAGGGCTTCGGGCCACCACCCAGGGATGGTGCAAGTGGTGCCTTGGGGGTGCCAGGGCCACCTGGAGGCGCTGGTGGAGGTGGCGCTCCAATACTTGAAGATGGCCTGCTCCAGGTCGTCTCCTGCAACAGAGTTTTAAGTCCCCTCGCACACTTGAGCATGACCCGGCCCGGCCTTCGTGACGGAGTTGTAGTAGTACGCTTTGCCCGTTGTAGGGTCTTTGTGCTCTGCCCAATTCGGCGGCAGCATTGGTGAAAAGTACCGTACCGCAAGAGTTTACAGAATTCGCCTGACATGCTCCGGAAGCAGTTGCAGCTCAATTGAAAACACAAAAACGAAAAGGCTTTTGCGACTGGCTGCTTCCCAGGAACATTAAATTGTACAGAGACGGCGCAGTCTTCCTCCTGACATACATGGCCAGACGCAACATGTCCAAAGACGTAAGGATTACACATGTCACCTTGGAACTCAATGGTCGCAACACTACCCCTGGGCCCTGTCCTCTGGGAGGCGGACCAGCTGCACTCGCAGCAGCAGGCCGTCTAAGCCTAGGCCTATGCCGTGTAGCCGTGCAGCTGAACGGGAGTGCCCCGCTGAGGGTTCCGCCGTATCTGGATGATACGATTGTGCTGCGAAGCTGTGCTCTAGGTTTGCAGGACACGGCCTTGCAAGAGACATGAAGGGGTGAGGGCAGTCGAGGGGACTGAGGCTGACCATGGACAGCAGTAGTGTTACCTCCCTGACGTAAACATTTCTCCGAGCCAAAAGGGACGCATGCAGAAACAAAAAGTTCCTACAGTGGCGTGTGAACAGAACACTGATGCCCACAAGCAGTCAAACAGGAAAGCTTAGCAATGGCTCATTCTATCAGCTGACACAAACGCCCATACAACACGTGTCCGAGCTCCACCTCCAGGAGACAGAAACCTTTCTGTAGGTCATCATGGCAACTGGGGTTGGCCTCAGCTGGCACGAGCGACTCGTCCATCGAAGAAAGGCTTGTTTCCCGTTGACAGAGCATGGCGCAGCGACAGCATTCCCAAAGCCCTTGCATCCGTATACGATTATCCATCCTGCCTACCCCATAGCTGCCCGGTGTAAAAGTTTCCATTTGCTGAGGTTCGGCAATAACTGCAGTAGCACGGCAGGCCCTTCCCCGCACCCATAATCGGTACAGAAACCGCAAATTCACTAACATGTCCATAACTCAGTTCATAACTCACAAGGGCATGAGGTCACTGCCTGAAAAAGTGCTCGGGAGATCGCAAGGCGCGTGGCCCCGGCCTGGCCAAAGCGAGCTCAAGCGATGCAAAAAGGGACACACAAAGGCCGCAACATGAATTCTCAGCGCAGATGATCTGCATTGCAACTTGCGCAGACAAGTACGTAACATGGAATGGGCTCCACATGATTGCAGAATCCAGATGCTAAATGTGAATCGTCAAGGCCATGCATGGCTTGGCGCCTGCCCACTCAAACCACCTCCACGGGTCTCCACAAAGACATCGTACTGGCCTGCTGTGCCTTGCTGATAAGATAAGACTGAACGTGGGCGTATAGCAAGCAAAGCTACAAGAGGGCTCTCGATAAACGGCCTGCCTCCCTCTCGCAGTCAACGACCCAAGCTGCCCACGTCTTTCATTTAGGGTTTACGGGTTTAGGGTTAGGGTTTAGGCGTTCTCATGCCAAGGCACCGGTCAGCTTGAAAGGTTGGCAGACATCGACCCCTCAGATGACTCGAGGCCGGAGGCCGGGGGTGTCTTGCACGGGGCCATGTAATGGTTTAGCAGATCGGCTCTTTGTTCCGACTGTCTGGTTCTTTGATTCGGGAGGTCCGCTAGGAGGACTTGCCAGTTTTACAATTTTGCCGCGGGTCCGCGCAGTAGTTTCTCCCCCCCTGGCCCTTCCGGTCCCGGGATCTAATCCCCTGCTGCTGAAGCAGCTGCAGACAAGCATAGTGGATCTCGCAGCCGGCTCCAAGGCGGCTCTCACGCTAGCTGCTAAACAGTCAACTGTCGAGCTCGAAATATGGGCAAGCAGGCTCTGAGGAGGTATTGCCTGGTAACTCAGAGGGCATCATGCAAAATGCACATTGACACGAAGCCTTTCTGGGCAACCCGACGGTTGTAAATCTGCGGCCATCGTGAGTACATGTCCTCGCTGGCAGGTCGCGAATTGCAGAGCTTCTCGGGGACTCTTCCGGCTCTTGATGAACAGCAGCAAGGCCCGCGCAAGACCCACACTTCTACTTCGTCCTGCTCTCCGTTGACTCGAAATATCCCTGTGCCCCGGACGAGCACCTTGGGGAGATGACTTCTTCGTCAACGTTTGCTCTCTCTCTCTCTCTCTCTCTCTCTGGCACAGCTCCCAAGCTTAGGCCGAAGCCACGTGAGCCGACGCGCGCTTGCGAGTGCCCGTGCCTTTCCGTACGAGGCTACTGCAGACTCACGTCTGTCATGGTACTCGAACCCCGCACCTGACTTGTGTCCAATCCTCTTAGGGGTCCGAGAAATTCTCCAAAACCAAGCTTGCTGCACCACCTGACCCGGGAAGCAAAGCCCGCAGCCTTCGACGTAGGAAAGCCACTCCTCGATGCTTGCGTTAGTTACCATGCTGCTGGACGATTCGAAACACAAGAAAGCGAAAGCGGAAACGACATGCATTGTATCAGCTTGGACATTCTTGGGCAGGCTCCTTGCCCCCATGCCAAAACTTCGGGGGAAGGTCAGGCCGGAAGTACCTCACTAACGCGCCGTTGGAATGTGCGAGGCCTTGAATACAAAGTAGTGTAGTGTCCTGCCAAGCCTTGTGCGATTGGGAGGATCTCTAATTTCGATCTCGCGATCAAATGTCCAGAACAACAGAACACTGCCACATCCGTCAGAAGTCCTGACATCCGCAACGAAATGTCGAGTTGGCGGGGCACTTCTCTATGGTCCCGTGGACTGTGGGATTGGTGTTTGGCCTGCAGCCAGTACTTAAGAATCACCAGCACAGTCATGATTCGCCGCTCCTTCTGCTTTGGGTGCTAGGCGAGGGACCATTCCCGCTCACCCTCGTTGCCCACAACGTCGAACTGCTCCTACAGGTGGACGAAAGGATTTTTTGCATTCCGGTACTGCGAGGGCGACCGCCTTTGTCAAGAAGTAGCCTCTGTAGTACACTATAGTATATTATAGTACATGATAGTGTATTGTAATATATTATATTATGTTATAGTATATTATACCATAGTATACTACCGTATATTAAAGTTCATTGTAGTATATGAGAAGGTGCTGCAGTATCACGACCTGGCCTTCGAAGCCGTGGCTTCATACGGCTCGTCCTCAACCTACAAGCCGCGAGGGGACATTGAGACATACAACCTGTACTGAAGTCAGCTGCCGGTCGCCTTCCACTATTTCGATACCCATGGGATGCCCGTACGCTTCTGAAGACAGCGGGTGGTGAGACTCAGCATAAAGCATCCGGAAAATTGAGAGAAAAGCCTGCTCACCAGGTCGGGTCAGGAATCTTGATAATACCAGCGAAGCTCAGGCCAATCAGGACCACTACTGCTATGACGCCGACAACGACAAAATCCACAGTTTGACCAAGGGACTCGGTCTGTGTGGACACTTTTCGCTCCAGGATAGAGACAAACTTTGCCACGAAGGGTGCCATCTTGGATCCAATAGCTTTCACCTCGGGATCTTCCCTGCTCAGCCCAGCATACTGGGCCACGATTGGTGAGCCTCCGAGACGATTCATGATTTCGTCACGACGCTCATCATCGGACAGCTTCATGAGCTTTTGCTGATCCTTGCTCTCGAGCTTCTCGTTGTAGTCCTTACCCAAGTCGGGGAGGACCTCGGACATGACATCATCCACGAGCTTGGAACGCTCCAGTCCTAAGCTGGTCAAGGCAACGCTGCAGGCTTTTAGATTTCAGATTATTTGTACGAGTTTCACATATTAGAGTGCGTGCCGGACAGGCCATGTTGGTGCTGGCAAGGCTCTCCCCCAGAACTTGGCGAAGCAGTCAAAGGCGTACATGCGATTGCTCTCCAGCTGGGGGGGCCAAATCTTGGGCCAATCCTTCTTCACAGTAGCCACGACACCACGACCGCCACCCGACTGCTCCTCCATGGCCAGCTGGAAAATGTTGATGTCCATCCTGCCAGATTAAGCATGCAAGCAACAAGAAGGAGGATGTCAAGCAGGACCACAGCAGCCTCGACCCCACAAACGCGCAAGCCGAGTCGCCAGTAAGTCTCTGCCTTGGCCAAGAAATCATCGAGGACGCCCTCGTCATTCACGTTCTTCAGTAAGGTCAGAAGTTCTCGGTATTCGTTTGATTGGATGAAGCTCCGAAGCCTTGGGTTCACCACACCTCGGTATTTTCCTGCAGAGCTGGGCAAACAGAACAACACAGCTCTACAGTATACCCTTGCTCCCGCACTCTGTCTGCCTTTCTGAGGGTTTGAGCCTTGAGGTCCAGTCTGAGATGATCCGCTTCGGTGCCCCAAACTCGCAGACCGCACAAGTTGAACGGGTAAAACCATGTGGCCCCCCTTTCGTGTGTGGGACTTCCGGGCATCACGTGGAGTCTTGCGGCGACTGTGCACGATACCGCTCAATCCCTTGGTCAAGCTTGAGGTGCCTTCGTGCCTAAGTGAGTTTGCAGGAGTACAAGCCCATCGTTCCCTTGCCGTCACTATGTATTCCAGTGTTGCGCATGCCTTGTGATGGTCCTTCGGCAGAGCTGTGAAGCACCGTTCCACGCATCATTGAATGTCTGAGGCAGAGATAGTAGTTGCTCAGCACCCATGCGTGGCGACTCGATACTTTTTCAAGCGTATCGGGCAAACACCATCCGGGTTCCTTGCGGCCGAGTCCGATTGAATTAAATATTCTAAGCTCTAAGCATTTTTCGGGACGACGGCAAAGGTGGCAATCGAGGGGGCATCCAAAGCAGGGTACCCCAAGAAAAGCCACATCTTTGTCCCTCTGCTGTCTTCTGCGCGGTCCTCCTCCTTTCTTCGCTGCTCCCTTCCTCTTCGTTGCAGCCATCGCTGTGCGTGCTGGCTGGGCAGGTTGTGGGCCCATGAATGTCACCTGGCGCCATCAGCAGGAGCCCAACGGGTCAAGTCGTGCACATAACCCTCCCATGCATCCATACTAAGTCTTCGACCCGATGGATGCAAGCAAATAGTTGATCAGAACAGTACGACAACCACGTATAACAACGTCCTACCACAAATAACTGGCACCGCCACCTGGCTCACCCGCAAAGCTCCATAGAGCAGCAGCGAGAGGCACAGCCAGCGGGTACGAGCCATGGCCGCTGACAGGAAGCAGATTTCGATTCAAGGGACGACTGACGCCATCACAACCCAGACTGGGCTCGCTTTGACACGCCATGTATACACCGCTGTGTCCGGCCTCAGCATTTGTGCGCAGCTATGCTGAGAAATCGCTCTGCGGCACTATTGCTTGAGTCACCATCGGCCGGGCGTTGCTGCAGCACGTGCAAACGAATAGAGCTAGTTTCGCAAACAATTTGCACAACTTTATGGATAGACATCTGCACCGAGGCAGCCGAGAAATGGCAAGCATGCAGACATGCATTTATATGTATGCAAACATTGAACATACATGCATACAAACATGCATTTATACGTACATGCATAGCTACATCGCACACACGTACGTACGAGTACAAGTGCCTACCTACCGACCGACCGACCGACCGACCGACGGACAGATAGACAGACAACCAGGCGGACAGATAGACTCGTTTGTACCCGTGAATACATGCTTGCAGCCAGCCACTTGTCTCGCCTTGCGCACAGTTCATGGCCTTGCTGACTGTGCTTAACTTCCGGCCTCAAAGAAGTTCTCGAGCATGAACGGTGAGTTGTCTCGGGAAAACTCCGGTCCGCGAACCTCGCCCCGACCGGGAGGCCAAGCAGTGGCGAATGCATGCACGAACCGGTCCCTGCACGTCCGGGGACTCTGCGATCTGATACTGGACCTGCAAACAACAAACTGAATCTTCGATGCGGCTCGTAATCAGATTGGCAGGGGTGGGTCAACAGCATTGATACTCAGCAGCTTGACCGAACCAGTGCAACAACGGCAGAGTTGTACAGTGATGCTACACTTCCGTTCAACACCTACTGCAGGCTCACCAATCTCTAGCCACGCCTCTGCTTCTGTCCAGATGTTCGCAAGCTTGGCCAGATACAACCTCCAGTACTCTGAGCACTCGACGGAGGCCTCCACCGTACACCCTCATGACCGTGTGGGTCGGGGCCCTGACGCCTCCTCCAGGGTGGTCACAGGCTTGCCTTGAACTTTTCACGTCGCAAGCAGAGGCACACCGACACGCAAATCGCTGAGTGGACGATAGTTGCCAAAATGGGGAAAGGCGGGCCAACCGACAAGTGGGACTTGCTTCTAGCAGGGCGACAATCGATGTCCTATCATTCGCATCTGAGTGCAGCACGCTTTGCCTTGGCATTCAGCGCATTGTCACTTTGGATTTCTGCTGCGTGAGCAAGCATGATGGAATCCTGCACTTCATGCTGCCGGACAAGTGGCCTTCGGCTCCTCAGAGGGGCTTTGCGAGCTGAAGCTGCGGGTGGCCCCAGGACCTGTGAGAGGCGATACTAATGTCAATATATTGGTACTTAATACTAGGAATATTAATAGGAATATTCAGATTGATATTCATACTCACATTCATACCGATACTAATAGTGATATGAATATTAATATTAATTAATATTATGAGCACTGCTCTTGGCTGCTCTTGTTGTTATGCTAATGCATCACTGGTCATGGACATGGCTCCCTGCCAAGGCTCAGGACGGGGCTTACAGCCAAGGGCAGCCTTCGTGCAGGCAGCCATGCAGCGGGAAGGGCCATTGCGCGGCAGGCTCGGCGTGCCATGCCTGGCGACCTCATGGCCCCTTCAAGGCAGCTTTTAGAGTTCCCTCAAGTAATCTGCCTCCATGGTATTTGATGGAGCCTTCACTCCGGCAGGCACCGGACAGTGCTGGACTGTTTCAGAAGGAGGCTTTAAAGCAGAACTTGCGGTTTTCAACGATCATTACAGAGAGTCACAAAGGATAGGTCGGTGAATCCTGCTCGAAACGCTAACAGCCGATGTTTTTGTTTGGCTCAGTTCCCCTTAACAGAGATGTAAGCCGCAGAGCTAGAACCACGTTTAACTTCATCGTGCAATCCGTGCAGCGCCTGTGGTCTTGCCAGCACAGCCATGATCAGCGCATGTAAGACTCCATACCGGGGTATTGGAGCGGCACCGTGGATTCTGAGTACTGGCTTGGGCTGGAATGCGGAAGAAGGCTGGCGGAGTACCTGGCAGCTGGATCCCCTGCACACATAGACATGACTGCCACACTTCCCCAACTCGATTCCCAGCGCACGCAGCCAGGCAAACGTCAATGACTGCATAGTAGTCAGCGCCCTGGCAACTTTCAACTTTCAACATGCAAGCTCTAAAATGCCCTGAGCAGCTGGCACTGCCAGGTAAATGAGGATCTGCGGTCTGGTGCATATTCTAGGGCATAGGTCTTAGGCAAGGCTTGAGGTCAAGGGTATCAGGGTTAAGCCTAGGGTTTCGAGCTGTCGGTTCCATAAAACACGATGTCCGTGTAATACCTAAGTCACCTGTGACTCACCTGCAGAGCGCTAACAACGAGACGGCGGTTCGTAGTTGTGCATTTGCGGGCACATTGAGTCTTCATGCCAGCTTGCCCCTATAGAAACCCAGATGTCGGGGCCTTAGATGCCTTAGATATCACTTTGGGGGTCATGCCTGCTGGATGGGACGGCCCACGTCAAAGTCCAAGACCTGGGAGCCATTCCTGGCAGAGGCGCGGCTGTTTCCCCGCCTACAAAATCCTGCGAGATGCAGGTACACTCCGAAGCCTCCAAAGCTGCAGCCGGCCCTCCAACGTGTACAGGCACCTGGTGTTCAGTTGCACGCAACGGATTGCAGGTTTATCGGATGGGGGTGGCCGCACTCTATCTCGCACTTCCGTAGTACAGCAACTTCAGATGCACGCACACTGCTTCAAAGGCTGATCGAGTCTGGAACCCAAACACGTCGCCCGGGTTCACACTCACCGGCGCCCTGCCAGGTACTGGTCACTGGCAAACAATGTAAAAGGGATGAGGGTACAGCATTCAAAACAGCTAAAGCCCAATGCATCTATGGCTACTGGTATCTGCTACCTCAAGATCTGGAGGGGTCAGGACCAGCGCGGCAAGACCAAGATAAGCGACCCAGAATTCAGAATAGAGCTGCGGACAGAAGACGCGAAAGGCAGCATCACCAGATATGTATGCACAAAAATACATGCATGACATCATGCATGCATTCGTACATGCACACGTACACACACGCTTGCATGCCTACATGCCTACATATGCCTTCATGCATGCCTCCCTGCATGCATGCAGAAGTTCCAGAAAACAGATCTTCAACTTCTGGCTAAAGCCATCTTTCAATCAAAGGCAGAGCCCGTGAACACTTTACAGTCGCATTACTGATTGCACCAACAGCCTCGTGGATCCCGTACATTCACTGGTAGGCATCATACTTGGAAGCTTAAGCCAATCATGTCGAGGTCTTCCAGATCCTTTCAAAACAATTCCCGGATGCCATCGTCAGAAGCAAGCAAAGTGACTTCATGGATCGGAATGACTGTATCTCCGGATCTGTCCAAACGCATCCTTGCTTTGCCATTTTACAACCGAAATGCACGAAATTGCGACGGTGATCTCCTTCGATCTCAAAACGGAACATAATAAGCCCCACTCATTCCTGTATGTGCAAGTTGATGGCTTGCATTTCGATGTTGTGACGCAGTGGTTTGCTGAATGCTTGCATTCTTTTGCTGTGGACACATTTGACAGCTGGTGGAACTGTTGACAAGGAACTTTTCTCCATGCGGCAGACGGTCATGGCAGCAAACTGACTTTGGCTAGCCGTGCTCCTAGAAGGAGACTTCCTCTGTTACAACTTCCAACCGTGCCTTCGCTTGTGCGGCGGGACGTCGGCTTGTGTGGACCAGGAGGCAACCTGCTACAACTTGTGCAACACGAGCGCGTGCGTTCGCAGTTGACATGCAGCATGCAGAATGGTCATGATCATATGCATCTGTCGCAGGAAGGTTGCGCGCCTGAGCCTAATGCCACGAACCCCGTATCATCTGCAGTGACAGCTTCTGTTGAGGCCAAAGATAAGCATACACACGCGCGCACACACACACACACGCGCGCAAAAGGTACGAATAATGTGAAACAGGTCCAGGAAAGTGCTTGCAGAAACGCAGTGTACAACCAAGCCGGTCACACAATGAGTTACGGTTCCCCTAAGGAGTGCATTTCATGCCGTGGTTTGCCTTGGCCGTTTTCACTACCGAAGCTGCCTACTACACGTTCTTCACCAGCTCATGCAGCAGCCACTTTTCCCTGGCATTTCTGCTTGTGAACTGGCTTTGCAGTTCTCGCATCGATGCGCGCTGTGCAGGCTGATGTTGTCGCGCAAAGCTGTGGTTCAGACGGTGCCAAGCCGACGATGTGGAATCGAATGAACAAAGTTTGATAGCCTTTGTGGTCCCCCAGTCAGCATGTATCCTGGCGTCACGAACGTCTGCAAGCCACTCTCGACATTAGCAGCATGCGGCGTCTCATCAAGAGCGGCATAGCTGCTTCGGGAACGCGATGTCCTCCTGCTGAGCTTTCGAGAGAGGTAAACCTGAAGCGCACCCAACTGTCTCCAACCTGTGAAGGCTGCCAGTGCTGCCCATGCCGTACAACCACACAACTGCCATTGCCAGCGCCCAACGATCGCCAGATGCTCTGGGCAGTCCCTCCCCTCTGCTTCTGATTGTGTATCCTTGCACTCGATGCCCACGATCAAAGCTCCCAATGCCACCAGCACAACATAGGCGATCATCACTGTGACGGCCAAGGCTCTGCGACCGCAATTCTGAGCGGATGCTGCCAGAAGCGCGCAGAGGCAATGCCACGTGAGCGCCTGCGTGCCCAAGGGCCCAAGCAGGATAGAAGCCTCCACCGACCAGGGAGCTCCCTGCTGGGGCAAGGCGTCGATGTCGAAGAAGGAGATCAGGCTTCCCAGCCCCGAAACCACAAGGAAGCTGCCCAGGAGCGGGGCCAAGCAGGCCAAAAGGGGTCGTCTCCAGGTCACCAAGACCCAGGCGCCGAAGCTGGAGCCCGCACAGCACCAGGTCAGTGAGATCCCTGGCAGACTCTTGTCGATGGCCTCAGCCCCCGCCCCCACGCCGCAGTAGGCTGCCGCCGCAAAACCTGCGGCAGCACCAATGACGACCTGGGTTCCCTCGAAGCCACTGTGCACCGCCAACCCAGCAATCACTCCGGCCGCTAGCATCAGGGCAAGCCCCGATTGCAGGTTGGGAGCCAAATCATTTCGGTAGGTTTCGAAATGCGCCAGCCAGACAGCTGCTAGGGAAAAGCCGACGATTACTAAGTTTTCCCAAAGTCGTGGTCCATCCCACACGCAGACGCAGCCACATGCCAAGGCTCCAAGCGCAATTGCAGTCTGATAGGGACTCTCGCGCAGCCAGGTACCAAAGTTCTGCATGTATGTCCTCAAAGGCGATCTTGCTACTTGACTGCGGAGTCGCGCGAAGTCTTGGCACATGGACGGATCGATCGCATCAGGCGGCTCCGACGGTGTTGGCGGTGCCGCGGGCTCGGGCTGAAATGGTGCTTGAGTAACAGTCTGAAGACCAGGGAGGTCGAAGTTGCCTGCTTCCGGCCAGTTATAGGCCCAAGCCAAGTGGACCCCAGCGCAACTCAACCGGCGTATCATCTCATGTGCGAGGAAGAGGAGCCCATCTCTGGGCTGCACAGAAGTGAATCTAGGCTCGTGTTTGCTCGAGTCTGCCTGCGTGCGGAGCCATGTACTCTCCAAGCTAAAAATTGAGGAGAATTAGGCTTCTACAGCTTCAAAACATTCTAGTTGCGCCGGCATCTTGGCTCCAAGAAGAGGAGTCAGCGACGGGCCTTTGCCCTCGCTGTTGAACCATTCTTGTTTTGCTGGTCGGGGCACACATCACATATGTCATTTGCAACCTTTGGCATCGCGAGAGCAACACACGCCTCTGTCTGCGGAGGCTGCTTGAATCCGATCCGGAAGTGCTCGATCTGATCGCGGGCGAAGGCCTGCCCACGAAAGCCAAGGCCTTTTCAACTTCTGAGGACAAAATCCTGCTGCTGCTGCTGCACAGCCGTGCCCGAAAGAACGGCTTTCGAGCCTCGCCACAGGCTCCCACTAGAACACTGGCGCCCAAACACCTGTGGCAAAACCAAAGGACGTGCATGGACGACGCGATCTCACATCCACTGTGACAGGCAGTCTCCAGCACTTTTTGGCAGCTTGCACTTGATGCCAGTGTGGCAGCTCATAGCATCAGCCTGCCTTAGCAAAAGCAGTTCAAAGGTGCTCGGAGGACATGGAAACATCGAAGCGGTCTCCCAGCTGCTTCCCTCGCCAACAGGCCCTCTCGTGTGTGTGTGCTTCTCGCAAAGTCGCGGTGCGTCGAAAGATACAAGTAGCATGGATTTCGAGAAAAATCATAGCTTTCCAAATTCAGCACAGCTTCTCTTCGCCTCTGCTTCTCTGGCGGGGGCAGATCAAAGTCCACCAGCCAGGGACCTCAACAACCGAAGGGCACCTTCTCTGGAAGCAGACCGCCTCCCAGGCTAAACTTGCAGAGCGGCTCTCCGGCGGATGGGCTCCTTCCTCAGCGAAGCGAGGGGATGCATGCAGCATCATGCCCGTATACGTTCAGCGGAGCTTCGATCCGCCGTCGCATCCGGTCCTCGGAGATCTCCCGGAGCTCGGGATGACTCAGCGAGTCCCAGGCTGCCCACATGGCGAAGAGGTGCTGGACATCCTGATGGAGACAAGGGCGGGCCACTCCCAAAGTCCACTACGCCACTACTACGTTACTACGGCCACGGCTGGAGAAAATGGTCCACATCTTATAGGTCTCTCTGAACTGGCGGTGTTCAGATTAAGTCCTACTCCTCCTCCTCCCCCTCCGCAGAGCGGGGTGCTTTTGATGCTCTGTAGCAGCACCAGCAGCTTTGGCTACGAGTGGACCTTTTGCTTAGACGGAACCCTTCGAGTGGCAAAGTAGGGTGCCTCTGAGGCTCTATAGCTTTAAGTTACTAAGAGCTACGAGTCTACCGGAGCGGGGCGGCGCTCCCAAAGTGGCTAAGTGCCATGTAGACACAACAAATACAGTGTCCTGAGCGCAGTACCGCACCAGCAACTGGGGCAGTGGTCGAAGCTTCCAAACCTCACGAGGTATGGGCTTGTGTGTGTGTGTGTGTACTCTGGATGTCCATCTCACTTGCCAGAGCAATATTACTGCCCTGGTTACGGACCGAGCTTATGGGAGACCGATTGGTATACGATGGCTGCAGCGTGAGATCCCTCAGAGACTACTAGTGAGCTGTGACTCGAACAAGAGCGAACCACTTTCGCAATCCTTGTCCAGAGCACTCCCGCCTGGATGTTGCCACCTTTTTCAGGTGCGAACATACCAGCTCCGGCAGCTTTGATGCCTTTTGCCTCCTAGCAATACACTTCAGCAAGCACTTGCGATCTGAACAGATGGCCGGTGCATAGCCTGGTGCTCCTGGTAGGACAAAACTTGCCCAAGCCTTAATAAGAGCTGCTGACTGGAGTTGCATCGGCAAGACACATCTGCCCTTTTGCAAAGCTGCTGCTGGGCAGGCTCTGACCAACGAGAAAATCCTTCCGCAGCATATCCTGGCTTCCTAGCTTTGAGCTGGGCCGCGCTTTGGCCATTCCAGGAAGCTGACCTGACCGTTGGCCCGATTGATGGGTGAAGAGCACCTGGAGATCCAACCTAAGAGGACGCGGGCTGTATGATGTAAGCGGCAATTAGTGCCATTCTTCGTAGAGGCTATCTCATCTTGCAGGCAGTAGCAGAGCTTTAGATAAACCTTCGGCTGCTTCCTTAATTTATGTGTACGTGCAAATCTCTTTATGAGGCAGGTGGTGACGTGCTTCGGGAAGGAAGCAAGTTCATGCAAGTCGCACGTTGGTCAGCTGAACTCCATGCAGGTGGTGCAAGGCATCCGCATCACTGCGGCAGTCGTAGAAAAGCTTGACGACATCTACGCTCTCCAGCAATTCCTGCCCGTCATGCCACTGCGGTGCCGTCGATGAAAGCTGGACCATGGAATTCGTAAATGCACATGTTCGATTGTGGTGGGCCTTCAAGCCACTTCGGAAAGCCGCTCGACCCAAAGTGCTAATGTCAAAGAGGTAGACCTGTCGCATCCGCGTTGACACCTGCATCTTCGCCCAGGTTCAGTCGCTGAAACAGTGATAAAAAGGAGTTTTCCACAGGTTTCAAAATGGCTTGGTAACCCCGTGAGCCCGCCTGGATGATGCAGATCTCACCTGCTCTTCCCAAGTCAATGCCCTCCATGTCCAAGGCGATGGCATCCACCTTCCAAAACCGGAATTCAGCCTACGAGTGACGAAATCTGAGAGTCGGGGCCCCTCATCAAGAGGTAAATAGCTCTTGCAGAGCAATTTCCCAGCAACCAATGTCTACTTTCTAATCGCTTTCGTACAGATGAACCCAAATTATGCCATGCGGCTTGAAGCAAGACGTCACAAACGGAGCGGCAATCTTGGAGTTCGTCCTCAGCAGAAGGGTCCGAAGACGAAGAGAAGCAATTCTGAAATCGTTATTTAGGGACCAAGCATTCTATACAGCGAACCTCTGCAGCTGCAGCGTCTATCCAGCATGGCTCCTCGAGGTCTTCATCATCTACATCCTTCGAGCAGGCGCAGAGCCCGACCCTTCCGTGTCGAGCAGGTGTGTTACAAGGAGCTTGCAGGCGGTTGCAGCATCTGGGAGCCGATGCACTGAGCTACCTAGCTCACCCTAACTCTGTCCTCTTCCTCATCTTCCATCCACTCATTTTGTGCTTCCTCCCAGCCCTGTCCGTGTTCTTGTTGTTCTTGTTTTTGCGCCAGGTGCCAGTTCTCCTCTGTCCAAGTTTCATTGTGAACTTGCTCCTCCTGCCACTCCTCGCACTGCTCTTCGCACTCCTTCTCTTCCCAAGCCTCCTCTCCACCGCTGTCCTGGCGCAATTGCAGCTGCACACAAAACAGCTATCGTCTGAAGCCGTGCACTGCACCTCCATGTCCGGTCAAGAAGTTTCCATTGTCGTGCCACTAGAAAGTTCAAGTTGCGACACAAGTCGCTGCTGCCTGAGCTCTTACGTCAAACGCCGGCCATCAGACATATTTGCATTTCAAACTTGTCATGACCTGCAGATAAGACGCAACTGAGAGAGCAGATGTTGAGGGTCAGCAGCACATCTGCTCACTGCAGCCACAAGCATCATACTTCAAGTCCCTTTTGATAGACTATAAGCCCTGTCACGGTCCTCTGTCAGTGTGCAACAATCTTTGATCTCCCGCTTCCAGATGTTGACTAGGGCTGCGGTAGTACACATTGCTCACTTCAATCACGAGACTGAGCCGAAGGGGACACAGCAGCCGACATGCGTGCGTCTATGGCAGACTTCGAGTTAAAAAGCAACAGGGCGGAGAAATTCTTTAATGTGTGGCGATCTTTCCTAGAATGCTCCTCAGCCTACATGGCACCGCTGCCCCAGGCCTGCAAACCGTTGGGTAGAGACCCGGCTGGTCCACCGGCTTGCGGCGAGTGAAGCCCATCTGATCCCAAGCAGCTTTTTTCAATCAAGAAAGCACCGTGTCAATAGTCACAGTTACGGGGGCTGCTACATACTCTCCCTTGTGCACGGCTCTGGTCGCTAACATCGATCAGGGCTTGTCAAACTCCGAGCTGGACATCACTGGTCACCCCCGACATGGTTGCTCAAGACAGCTCAGGATCAATGCTATCGTCGAGATGATGGAGGCCGCGCTGGTGAATCTGCATTCTAGCTTCTCGATGCCGGTGGCACCAAACAGCGGGAAAGCTTGCAAAAATCGGGATCGCACCTATGCACTCACGCGAGTTTCTCTTCTGTGAAAAGAACGGAAGGTAGCAGTGAGGAGTGTGTTGGATACTGGCTTCGAGCATGTACCCGGAAAACCACGCTCAGCCGGGAAGTAGGGCTGTGAGTGGTTCGGGCGGGTCTGCTGGACTGTACATCCTGACTTTGGAGATGCGAGTGTGGAGGGGCCTTGCAAAAGAGACGCTGCATCGTGCATGCGACAACGGAAGGGCGAGCGAGTGAATCGGCATCCTTGTCGGATACTGAGGTTGCTGTCGCGAGGCCCTGCAACCCTGAACTCGGGGGGCACCATCAGTGATAGGTGGCCATGGTCATCAAGAGCGCTGCTAGGTCTATCTGAGTGCGTCGTCGACGGTGGGTAGCCGCCGCCACAGCAGGCTGCATGGTAAGTAGATCTGTCTTTGCTGCTGTGCCTTTGAGGCAGGGGTGGTGGAATAAAAGTCTTCATCCAGCCACATCCCTACTTCAGCTGGAAGGCAGTCTGGCTTTGATGCTCTGCTTGTAAACCCTGGTTCATGGCTTCACCCTGGGATAGGGTTCCAGGTTCACTGGTGTCTGCTGGAAAGAAACTGGGATATAGCTGTCAGAGAGCTACTTCTGCGAATGCTCACCAAGAACATCAGCTACACCTGCTGCCAAGGCTATATTATGCTATGCTGTTTCTTGCACTCTTTGGCTGAGCCCTTGGCAATGGGCAGTCCCTCGAATGTTGTCACAGCATCCTCAATGCGCACGGCAAAGTAGAGCCCGTTGTTTGTCATCCTGCGGCTCAATGCTCCGCATAAACGCAGGGATCATGAAGCTCGGCTCAAGGAAACAACGACAGAAAGCAGCTCTGGGAATTCGAGTCGGGCGAGGCTTTGCTTCCGTGCGCGCCTGACGGGTGTATTGCCAAAGACCAAACCTCAGGGACTCCAAAGGCTGCAGACAGCGACAACAGCTGCAAAAACCGGCAAAGACTCGGATCAGCCGGCTGGGTTCCCGGCAGTTGGTAGCAAGCTCCTGCGATGAGACCCACGCACACCACACCAGGTAGAAATGCCGAGTTTCTGGCAGAGTTCTCGTGATCTGCTGCTTCCAGGCCCGCTCTACTCCAAATGAACGATTTTCGACTGCGTCCTGCGGCTCACGGCGCATCGCCGTTCGACCACCATTGAGTATCAAGCAGTGATCCTTGCAGTGGACTGCTTCCTGCAAAGGTTCCTGCCCGCCGAAGTTGACCCCCCGCCTGTAGCCGCTCGGAGAAGAAAGTGAAACCCAGCCGCTGGCTGACGTGCGAAAGCCGGCCTGCCACGATCGTTTCTTGATCTACAGGCTCGCGCACTCGCGCTGCAGAAGTGAACCCAACGGAGTTATGTTGATATCTTGATCGACCGATTTGCCGGGAGAGCACATGACATCAAATGCCAAAAACACACCGAATTGCTGCGACTCATCTATGATGCATGGGCAGTCGCACAATAGCGCATACCCCCAACTCCCTCACGCCTAAGCTGGAGTCCAGGCTCAAAAGCTTCTGGCGAATCCGCTTAAACGTCTCTCGCGCAGCTTCAGTGACCTGGCCACGATTCCGAAGAAGAGAAACGCGGCTTCTAAGTTCACACCATCGGATTCTGTTGACTTCAGGAAGGCTTTTCGTGCCCAGAAACCCCACCAAAGGGCTTGAGTTTGGATCATGCTGAACTTCAAGGTCAGGGACTTTCCATGCCGGCAGGAAATCACAAATAACAGACGGAAACATGAAAAAACGACAGGGCAAGGTGCCTTTCAACCTCCCCTCCCCAGACTCTCCCACTTCATGCGGCCTCTTCCATCATCCGGCCATTGAGGGACACGAAAAGCCCTTCGCCAACAGACCTGAGTGACACCGCCGACAATGAGATGAGATGTGTCCCTTTCTAAGGCACATTAAGGTCTCCACCTCTGTACACCGAGCAAGTATCTGTCTGTGCCGACCTGCCAGCAGATCATCAGGTGGCATCCCAAGGCTCCAGACTACTCTTCTTAGAAATGCAGAGGCGTAGCTTCCAGCCCAAATAGCCGTTTAGCGACTCGGCCTAGTGGCCTAGCATGTATGGGCATCAGGACTATCACCAGGTCACCAAGGTCGAGCAGGCTCTTTAACTTTGAGCATAACCGCTGTCACCTGTATGTTCTTGAAAACCAATCCTAAACCCTAAAAATCCTAAACCCTTAAACCCTAAACAAATGAGCAATTGCTCTTGGGATGCCCGGTCCTATGAAGCCTTGCATACACTCCCCGCCTGGACGAGGCCAACGAGAAAAAAGTTGACGAACTGAGTCCTCGGGAGCACTCAGCTGCGGCACGCAGAATTCGCACATCACGATTAAGAGAATCGAAGCATTGATAGAAGGTGCTAAGGCCTGCTGTTTGCGTGTGCGCGCGTGCACAAGCCTGTACACAAGAGTTTCGGGACTCCTGCAGGAACAGCAAGCACGGAAAATGAAAACAGCTCACGTTACAGAACACCTGCATGTCGGGTCTTGCCACCGCAGTGCCGATCGAGAGCATTAGCTGGCACAAAGCAGCAGTTTCTTGATGCCTGGTTGCCGAACCAATGTCGCTACCAGTACCGCAGCACACTTAGGTCCAGACCCATTTTTCCGGCTGTTGGGCTGCAGCGACGTGACCTGCGCCGCAAGAAGGCCAAACCCTATGCCGAGGTCCTCTGTGGAATTCAATCGAGTCATGCATTCCGACACGTAGAGTGTAAAAATGTCTCAAAGGCCTCGGAGATATAATCAAGCTTCTTGATTTTGCACCTGTGAGTCGGCTGAATGCAAGGCGGATGCCTCCATCGACGGAGGACTACTAGGCTTCGCCGTTGCCGCCCATGTACATAGATCCAAACTATTGGCACCAAGGACTCTATGCTTAGCCTCCGGCATGCGGCAAAAGTCACGAAGGTTCTTTCTCGCAGACTTGGACACGGCCACCTGTCATGAAAACAGCATGACTTGGAGGCATCGTGCACGAAGGCTGTCTACACACGTTCTGGTATTCGAGCAGCGTCTTGCGAACCTACCACGAGCCTCGGGCACGCCCTTCAACATCATGCGGCAGTTCTGCCCAAGTGCCTGGCAGCCAAGGTTGTTAGCACGAATACATGTGACAGTGAAGCCGTCCAATGGAGAGGGCCTCGAATCGTGCAGACGAAAATCTAAAATTCCGACAGCCACTGCATGCTGCCCTGTTTGTCGGTATGCTTTTCCCCATTCTTTGCTCTTGCTGTTGCATAGGCCGAGGCATGAACACGACCAAGGAAGACTCTGGCTTCCACCATGTTCAGGGCACACCAGGATCCGATCAAGCACCCAGCTGCAGACTCTCCGCCAAGCACATACCGGCCAGGCACTGACGGCGGCGAGAAAAGTCACTACTTCTAGCATCGCAGCCTCGTCCCGGGGAAAGCCCGTCAATGCGGTAAAGCCTGGCTGTAGCAAGCCAGACTTGGCCCCACATCCTACGGAACGCTGGATATTCTGAGACACACTGACAACGACATCGCGTAAGAGTACTCGTACAAAACTCATACACACTGGACTACTCCTAACTGCAAGTCAGCCCAGCACAAACATCTCCAAGACATCACCCCCGGATCCTATGAGGCAACAGAAGCGGTGACGAGCCTTTGCTGGTACCCACAATGAGGCAATCGTGAATCTGCAAGTCCGCTATGAGAGCTGCTTCCTACAAGAGACGCCAGGCAAGGACAGCCTTCTCTGCATTGTCTTCTCACCTATGAGTACCTGCATGACAGCCCTAGCAGTTGCAGCTCTGGGCCGACACTGTCCTCTTCATCATCCAAGATGTACCCAGCCCGCCTGTAGCCTGAGGAAACCTGATCAGCTTCATATGCAAACAATTGCAAACAGTGAGCGCTTAAGGCTACCAGCATGCATAGGCCCAAGTCTCGGATGCAAGTGGATGTCGAGAGGCCTCAGCGTAGCTGACAGGGGGCTCGCTCGAGGACGTGGCTGCCTCAGCGCGCACTTTGCACACGTGTCCGTGATGCGCAGCCATCTGCTCGTGAGCGAGTCCCGCATGGCCAAACTGCTCTTGGGCACACGCATCTATGCGGTCTATCATGGCACCCACCTGGGTACAGGCCATGAGCGAGCTGTGAGCGAGTGCGGCACGTCTCCCTCATGCAGGTCACTGGTTTGAGGGCAGCACCCTTGCAGGGCGTGGCAGCGGAGCACATCACCCCGGAAGACCCATCTCAAGGTCCGAAGCATTTAAGGCCCCGATCCACAGGAGAGGACCATAGTGTTGACTCAGGTGTTAGCCTTTGCTGGCATACCAAGAGCATGGCAAGCATGGTGTTTATGACTTGAAGTAGCATTGTGAATGAATTGCAGCTGCTACATGCGACTGGCGGGACTGGGAGTGTTCCTGGCCAAACCGTTCGGGTTGCCGCTGGCAGGCTCCATGTGTGGCCAACTTGTTCCTTGACATGATCGAAGCGCAAAGACCAGGACAGCGATCCATTCAATCAGCCTTTACGAGCACGATGTTTGGTTCAGGCATTGAAGTGAAGCTTGCTCGACAGTACATGTCGGGTAGCACGTATACATCACAGCTGGAGTCGCTTGTCCAAAAGAGCGACGGAGAGTCCTCCTGCCTCTGGTCCTCCTCCTGCCTCATGGGCTGCCTCAGACCCTGTTTTCCACGCAAGGGGCGTTGACGCATCCAAGGCTTCGCCGAGCATTTAAATCAGGCATGCGCTTTTTGGCATGACTGCGCAGCAGCCTTGAACTTCATCTCCAGTGGAACCGGAACAACAGCAGCTTGAACGGCGTCTTCCGCACGGACGCTTTGCCGTCTCAGAGGTGGTGCAGATCTGCATCAGCAAAACCAAAGCAGGCACATGCAGGCACAGACTTGCATGGACTGTGGGTCAATAACACGATCTTGGCTCTGAAACATAGACCCTGAAAGCCTCAGTCGGTGTGCATGTTCGAGATTACGGTTACAAAATCTTTACTGGTGCATTTAGAAGCGCAGAGTCCTGCCTCCAAGAAGAGCTCATCCTTCGCGATCCTGACTGGACACAGAAGTCAGTAGAGAGCAAAACGGTGCCCTGGGAACTCTAATGCATCATGTCCGAAGAAGGGAGCATGAGGCCTCGTCCAACATGGCTAGCAGGGCCTGCGCAAACAAAAAACTACCGGCTGATAAAGCAGATACTAGTTTACTAGTTCTGTCTTGCTTCTTCACCCAGCTTGGTCAAAGCACCTCCATGGACGGAACTTCATCTGCTGCAGGGACTTCCTGTGTCAAGGTGTCCAGACTGCATTTGACGTGAGAAGGGCGAATCTGCAGGGTCCTGCTCGCTCTCCCGCAGTGTCGAGGATCCCGTCTGCGCCTGTGGAAACCGGTTGACACGCAGCGCAAGCTTGCGGCTCTGCACCAAACCATTGACCGAGACAGTCAGGAACATCAGTCATGCGGTACCTGTATGTGCAAGGTCTCCCAAGCGTGGTTTCTGAACTTTGTCCCTGATGCTTCAACCTGATGCTGCGCTTGATCTGCATGTGCGCAGACTTGTGCTGCTGCGGACTTTCCGCGAAGTATCGCTCCGTTGCCAACTTTTTTGCACGTTCCCTCGTAGCTGCAGGTGCATGGCACGGTCCGCAGGAGATGCTCACCAGATACACATACCTGCAGTCAACCTCATTAGGCACTCTCAGCGCATCTTGACTAAAGTCAACCAGATGTTGAAGCAACACTGCGCGACACTTTTCCATTGTTTGAGAAACTGAAGTGAATCTGTCCCGCTTGAGTGCTGCCCCTATGGTGTATGCTTCTAAAGGGCTTCCCAAACCCCAAAGCTTACTGACAGTGCCATTTTCAGTTGCTTCGTTCGTTGCGAAGAATTCCTTCAGAAGGACGCTACTTTGTTACTGTGATGACGTCACGAAGCTCATCAGGTGCCATGATCAAGACGGCAGAACGCAAAGTCAGGAGTGATCGGCACGACATGACGCGGCACCGCGCCTGCGCAGCTGCTGGCCTGATAGACCGAAACGTCTGGGAAGCTCCCATGACTGTGTAGCAATGCCCAGCAAAGGCCTGCAAATGCCCGAGCCCAGAAACTCAGATCCAGGCCCAGCACCGATCGCAGAAGTGAATCCTGCAAAATAACATCAAGCAATTTAATTCAGTTGCAAACCCCCTCACACGTAAAACTCTTTTCGTCGAACCTCCTCGGCGTCTGCGCGACGTCGGCTTCTCCTGCCAGGGTCTTCATGGAAGACGATTTCCCCCAGTCCGACTAAAAATTGTCAACGGCACCTGGATCGGCTGGGACGGCTCCGGTTCATTGATCGTTGACGGCTGCGGCTCCTGCAGTCGATAAATGGCTTTGACAAATTCTTGAGGACGACTCACATCTCCTCGCGGGCTGCATCTTCAGGAGGGTCTTCGCCCAGCATGGCAAGCAAGGCCTGAGACACAACACACCGGCAGCAGCGGCGCTCTGTCGCTGGGCAGTGCAGTATGCTGGGAGTGTTTTCGAGGCCTCCATGGATGGAATGTCTGGACTCTCCTGGCACAAAAAGCATCAGCATGCCATTGTTATGCAGCTGTTGGAGAGAATGAGTGAAAGCTAGAGTTGTGGTGCTTCAGGTCTAGCAGACATGCATCGTAAGCCATTGCACAACTGACACTACAGCACGTCACATTCGCTGAAGAGCAGAGACGTCCACAGCGCCCAGACGCATTCTAGCAGGCCAGGCTTTGGCCAAGGCCCACAAAGCTAACCAACAATATCATTCTGTAGCAATGATCCCTCGGATGAAGCCCTCACCGAGTCGAGGGAGATGTCGATCTCGCAACAGCTTTCAACTGAGCTGACACTTCTGGAAGATAGACTGAGCATGCCAACGTGCAAAGGTAGGGTCAATATGGCCATGAGTCTTTAAGTACCCCCGCTTTACGAGATACCGTCCGGTGCCCCTGGCAGAAAACCCATACCATGAGGTGCAAAAGGCTGGGCAGTTCCTCCGACTTCTCGCTCTGCAGGCGTGCAGCTTGCCGTGCCGGAGTAGGCAGCAGTTCCTGCGAGTAGTGGCAACCGCACCGATATGAACAGAAGCGTCGTGCAAAGATCTGGACTCATACTTTGGATGCTGATGCCTCCGCCGGTATGCCAGAGAAGTCCTGCTTCTTGACCTGCTCAGGCCTGTCGGTTTCGGGAGCCAAATTTGGACTGTGTCCGCTTCCCTTGCGTTCCCTGTCATGCTCGAGTTTGGCGTGGATGCTCGTGAGCGTCGCGCAATCGGCTTCACTGGTAACCTGTTTCAGCAGGGGGAAAGGCACCCCAAGAACGCAAGCAGGCCAGCAAAGAAGCATCGTTCGACAGGCAAAGGCCGAGGAAAGTGATCAAAGAAACAAGGCAGTTCAGCGGTCTGTTCTTCTCTGCCGGCATAACCAAAGCAGGAATGTCATGAAAGCATCAGCTGAGCCAGGACACCAATAAGTCAATAAGCCGAACATCAGCCCTAAAGTCGGTTTAGAGATCGGGGTGCACAGTCTCGTGTGCGCCAGGGAGATGCGAGCATCACGCAGACTCGCGCCACATTTGACAATCATACGCATCATTAGCTTCCTTTGTCGGGTGGCAGATAACATACATAGTGTAAGGGGCATCAAGGTCTCCATGTCGGGTGGAATGAGGCAGAAAAATCAGCGGACCAGCTTCGAGCGTTACGGAGCTGGCATCTCGAATCATCATTCGCAACGCCTGGCCACAGCCCCTCCTGCCTTCGACTAACTTCCTTCCATCCTTCCTTCCTGCATTCCAACACGCATAGGGCCAGGAGTATCTTCTTCATCGACAAAGAAGGGGAGCGGCCCTCCTCTGACACTGCCCGGAACCCCTCTCCCGGTCTGCACCTCGGCATTGCCGCCAGAGCAGGAGTGGAGGTTGGAGCTTCAAGCTCGGGCTCCGTCTTCGAGGCCACTGAGCTGAAGCCACCTCCGACAAGCACCGCCACCGCGGCCAACACAGCAGAGACCCGGTCGGTCCTCGACGTCGTCGCGGTGCGGCCTGAACACGCGAAGTAAGGCTTGACGAAACGGGACCACCCGCGAAGATGCAGAAAGCACAACCGGCACCTGCGTGGTCTTCTCCTGAAGAGCCTCTTTGTCCATCACCTGTTTTGAAATAGTTTTGCTTGCAGCATGCCGCACACAGCGATCCTTCTCTGCTAAAGTCAACCCAGGAATTCAGGCTCTGTGTAGCCTTCTTGGCTGACCCCTGCCCTACCGCAGCATGTGTCTTGATAGTGCTCGCAGCACCGCCGCCTCATCCAGCTTCTCTTGCTCCTGCTTCCT